CTCCGGCAGTGTGAAGTCTGTACACAAAATATCTTAATATTATCCTTTGTTAGTTCAATTGTGAGACAGAATGTTCGAGTTAACTAAGAGCGAATGTTCGTCTGTTGTGTGATTGTGCTACCACTGCATTCACCTGTCAAGTGAACAATAGATGAAATGGGTAGTTATTCCTTTATGTTATATAATACTTCTGAAGTAATCCTATCCAATGTACTGCATTCCCATCCAGGAAGAGAATCATATTAATGTTTTGGAGACGAGGAGAGACGCCCTCTTTAATTGTTGGCAGGCAACGGGACCTGAAGTCGGATGTAACGCCCCCTTCACGGTGACGAGCTCGCTTCCCAGTTAGAATCTCTTCCGCCGAGCAGGACACCTGGAGTGGCTCCGTTAGCTCGAATTCCAAGCGGGAACGCTGCAGTATGAAGCGAGATACAGATCTACAGCGGGCGTTTGTCACTGACATCGAGTAGACGGTTTCGAATGCGTCTTTCTTTCTCCGAATGGAAAGACACACAACTCGGTGGTTTCTTGTGTAACCTGCATTGATCACATTGACAAAGTAACGTCAATTGCTGGTCAGAAGTTTCTTTAAAAATTGCATTTACCTTCATTGTTTATCTCAAACTAAATTGAAGAACATATTTCCAGAAAGATTTGAAAACGATTGCAGTAAAAGATAGGTGTGTAGCTCACCTTCACTTTGCCGATCTTACGAGCAAATACCGATGTCTCATAAATGATTAGTGAGTATTATCAGCAGATGGTTAGATAAAATCGCCATATCGCGATAGATTTGCTATTACGAGTGTTGGGAAGTTTTGAAAGGAACTTTTCGAATGAACAGATCGACGTTCGCATACACTTAAAGTACATTTTGTTGGCAATCTGAATGTATTTTTCCATGTGTTGTGTATTATGAACTGAAATATTCAGAGAAAGTCTGAAATTGAAAGCTTGAAAACTGAAACCACAAATCAAAACAGTGTTAGAAGTCGCTCTAATGAGTTACAGAACAACGTAAACACATGAAAACTCAGGCACCAGAAAAAATAGGGCGAGGATGATGAGATAAAAGAGTTTAACTATTAGTTAGTTAAAAAGATAAGACAAAAATTATTTAAAAAGTGTTTAATTAATACTTCCTGAGGTGGCTGTATTGTAATGCTACATTTTTTTTTAAAATGGCCTTGTCTTATTAAGACATTAAATTGTTTAGATAACATTGTAGACTACATCACTCCGCACATTAAACATGAAATACCCATACATATATTGGAGAAAAAATTTTCACGTATGTGAAACAGGAAAAAAGAACAGAGATAGCAATAATTCCGTCTTCTGAGTTTTTCTTCTTTAAAGTGACTCAGGGGAAGAGAAGAGTCTATTAATTCGATTCCTCATGTAGCTTACGGCAATTTGGAGCGTTAAGACCCGTGATAAAGTGAGGCGCCCATGTTTGATACATTGTAGGTATACTCTCTAATACCTGAAATCGCCCATTACACACGAGCAGGATCTCCACGCGCACCTGAGATCTGGGTTGAGTTCAGTGGAGCGCATTCAGTACCCTCCGCCTTGCTTGCCAACACACAATGAACCATCAGGGGGGCGCTTAAAGAGGCGGCCATTGTGGCGTAGATGGAGCGAGGTTTCGGTCAATTGATGGGGTGGGGCAAGTAAGTAGGCAAATGTGTGAGCAAGAAGTAAACACAACGAAATATATTTCCTTAATGGTTTACTAGCGGATAAAGGGAGAATCGACTTTTACTCTAATTCTAATGCTGTGCAAACGGCGTAGGATTTATGGAGCAGTTGAAACATCAGAAAATGATACTGCCGCAAATTCAGAACTGTCCGCCATTGCTCCGCCGCTTTAATAAATATCTTTCTTTAAAAAAAGAGAACTGCGCATAACATTGTAAGAAAACTAGATATTTAAATAATGACTTTATTAATCATTGATGTATAATATCAACTGTTTGGTTGGAACGAAAGCGCCTTGCAGTTAAAACATGGGCTGTAAAAGTGTCGTGACTTCTTACGAAATGAATAACGTTATGAAAAAATTAATAATATAATTAATTGCTTTATTCCCTGCAACAAACACTGAATCCCATGTGGTCATTTTCCCCACAGTTATTTTTACTTTCTCGCGTTCCACTTACTTTTAAGTGGAATTGAACCATATAGTTTTGGCAACTGGAGTCCGGCCTTCGTGAACCTATAAAATAATAAACAGCAGTTTGAGTGAATGTGCGATTAGAAGACTGAAGGACAAGTAACGATCCTGCAAAGGATTAGTATTCGTAATTGACTCGTGTGGTCTGTGCGAGCAAGCGGGGCCGATAAGCAGATCAGGTGGGGGGGGGCGATGGAGGAAGCAGTTAACGAAGGTTGGGTGGGGAGCGATGATTGATTGATTGATTAGGTGATTTCGGGGGCGTCAACTGCTATGGTCATTAGTGCCGTAAATATAGTGCATGTTTCCACCTCTGGAGATGGCGACGATCTTCCCCCACTGGATGGTGAAATGTGGCGCCGACCAACCTATCGTCTAACGGGGTTTTCTCCAACCAGGTATCTCCCATCAGCGAGGCACCTCCCCAGCCGAGACAAGCTACCGACCAGTCTCCCGGCATATGTGGTAGTGTAGTGCATGTAAGTGTAAGTGTGTGTAAGGGGAGAGGATAGATCAAGGAAGAGGGTGGAAAGATCGTACGCGGTCCGTGGCCCGTTTGGTAGGGTACTGCTCTAGCATTCGCCTGGTGTTGGTAGAATAAACCTCCGAAAACTACCGATGACAGTCACTAAAATTCTCCTCCATACAACGACTAACCCGACCTGGCTAGAGTCGAAAATCCTGCCACTGAAGCCGAGGATCTGCCGGTGAGAGGCCTTGCAGGGACATCGGTTGATGCCCTGAGCCACCCCTCGCGGTGGGCGGGGGAGCGGAGGGCGGGGGAGGATTGTTGG